AGATAGATTTTTTTTTTGGATAACTGTGGATGTCTAGGCAAGTTTGCGCGTATATCAACTAATTTTACGGGACCCTGAAGTTTACGGTAGTATACTCACCTCAGTGGTCTTGAATGAACTCGAACTGGTGACCACTGGGGAGCAAATACAAGGCCTGACCAATAGATTGTTTATTGACACTTAAAAGATACAAGCTTAAAGGTGTGGTCCGACCTTCATTAAGTGATTGCATAGATAGACACAATAATTGGTTCTCGTTGACATTTTTGTTGTTCTAGACTAAAATCTTAAAGTTGTTAATGAGAACGTGTACTTATTTATGTATTATGTCTCCAACATGTATACATGCTCAAATACAATTTTTGGGCGATGATTCGACATAAATTCATTACTTGTACGTGCTTTGATATTATGTTGAACTAACTCATTTAATAATTTATTCTGTGATATAACAGGGACAAGTTCATTTATTTATTTGAGCTTCAATCCTCAAGACGAAGGACAAGAAAATTAACCCAATATCAGTCCCCTATCACATTGAAGCAAATTAATAGTGTTCGAATTAAGTATTTTTCTATACTTAGCTGTCCTTTGGGAGTTTGGTGGGGAAATTTCTTCATTCGACAATATAGGGGCAGACCTCAACCGTGAACCTCCATCCAGGTGAGTTTTTACTGAGATGTAAAATAGTGAGTAATATGGCGGCAGTGCTTTCTATGCTTAATCGAAGCCAGTAGTCTCACTTCCAAAATGGGACGACACTCCAAGAATTCTTTTTATACGTTCGTTCCAACCCTCGACCCTCTTTTCTAGACACCAAATCAATCAAACACACTTGATTAGTACGTTTTACATACTTATTTTACTGTCAAAATATGAGCAATTGTTGATTAATATGTTGAAATATAGCTTAATTCTATACAATTCATGTTTTGCGGGACAAGTGATGAATGTAGCGGAAATAAGGAGAAACAAGTGAAAAATGACCAGAATGGAAGAAAGTAAAAGTTCAGGGACTAAAGTAAAAATACTCAAAAATTATGTCGGGGCTCACGATGAAGGTTTGAGAGTACTAAGGGTCGATTGGAAGTCAAAAAGGAATGGAATATTATCAAAATCAATTTCCAATTCGCACAAGATATATTCAAGATTTTTAGCCAAAGATTGTGACCCATTTTTGGCATAGTAAAAATCCAAATTCGAAAAGATCTGTTTCTAACAAAGTTGTATCTCTTTGCGTTATGTTTCTAATGCATCTTGAATCGTCTAAATCGAATATTGGAAGAGAAAGTTATAACCAAATTACTGACTACTGTACAGAGACAAAAAATTCGCACGCGAAAGCAACTTTCCTTATTCCATTAGAACTCTTTAGGAAGCCAATTTGGATGTGATTTTCATCCAAATTCTGACTCTTACAAATACTTAACAGTAGAATACATATGGAGAAGGCCCTCATATAACATTCTTTTCCTCTTTGGTTCAAGAAACACATGAGGAACTAAAGATCTTGGTGAAGTTACGAAAGAACTCGTTTGGAATTGGTGATTTCATGTCTCTTATTCATTTAATTTGATATTTTCGTTGTCAAACAATGCTAGAATTTAGATTTTCATTCTCTTAAATTTATATTGAAATCTGTTTAATATTTACAAGATTTTTCATGGATTCAGTCATGCTTTTTCCATTGTTCAATCAAACTATTTATTGAGTTTCAATTTCAATTATTTATTGTTGAGATTGGTTTAACAATTATTATATCCTTTATAGATCCAATCATGCTTTTTCTATCGTTAGATTAAACTAGTTGTTGAATTTTAATCTCAATTTCACTTTTTAGGCAGATTGATTACTGCCTTATGCTTGATGTATATGGTCGATCTTTGATCTTTTTCCAATAAAATTGTGCGAATATGTCTTAAGTCTAAATTCTAAGATTACATTTGCAAAATTAAATTGATTTTCAAGATATATCTTCCGATTAGAGTATCGGGATGAAAGCCTCTAATTATGTTATAAAAATGAATAATTGATATGATTGATCCAATCCAATTGAGGGAATTCCGACTCTTCACTGTTTCGAATTATTGATTTTAATTTCACTTTTCAACATTAAATTTTATTACACATTTGAGAGAACAATTTAACATTTTTTATCCTTTAAATATTCTTCCATCTCCCTATGGATACGACACCCCAAAGTTGTACTACAACTACCGCGTTATTCTTTCGGCGTAATCAACACTTCTAAGAACTCAATATTCAACCAACCTATGATCCAATTATTTAATCAGCTTACTATCAATAAACCATGTGTTAGGTTCTCGTTGCGGGAGATCTTGGACCGTGCCCGTCTCCAACCTATGATCCATTTATTTAATCAGCTTACTATCAATAGACCATGTGTTAGGTTCTCGTTGCAGGAGAGCTCAGAACTAAACTAGTTTGATTCTCTTTTACCCATCAGCTGACTGTCTTGTTGCAACCTTGACATCTCCTGTTGAGATCCCAAGTCTCCAAGTGGGCCCTCTTGGCCACCAACGACCTTGTCTTTTTAGAGAATCCCACTCCTATGTCACGGAAGAATCAGCTAACTAACTTGACTCACCCCCTGACTTGGCTCATGGAAGCTAATCTATTTGATCTAGAGCTTCTCGTCCTTGGAGAAGGTCCGGAATGTAGCAATCGAAAAATAAAATTTCATTTATTTCATCTTGGTACATTTTGTTATATTTGAGATGTTGACGGACTAATATGAAAATAAGTTTAGACGTCACTATTTATATTCGGTAGAATAACCAAGCGTTCATTTAACGAGAATTTCCCTATCAATATTGGACTTGTTCCGAAGCCCATATTAAATGGCGAATTTTAAACTCAAGAAAAAAGATATTTCAGATAAGTTAGGCTCATGTTTTTGTAGCTCAAAGAAATTCATATTTAACTAATATTAATTAAGCATCTTACCAAGTTTGCAGCCACGTCTGTCACAAGACAAAATTAGTTTGATGTTTTGATTTGAATTTAAGATAATAGGGATTAGTTTATTAGTTTTCCATTACCAAATTAACCAATTTGCAACCTAATTTATAATTATTCCATATCTTGACTTGGAAAAATGAAAAATTAACTAATTTATCTACCACGTAATTAAGAGGCTTGCACTACTATCAAGGTAAAACTAATTTACATTGTTGGGATTGATAAATATTTATGGAGTCCAAATCAATTTGGGGCTCCTAATTTGGCAAGACTCTAGTTTCCATTTCTATTTTCATTAGAGATTTGGGATGTTTTTAGCCTCTCCTGTTCACACCATTTTTGGGGGACGGATTGTTTACCAAGAAAAAGAAAAAAAAGGGGGAGCAAGAACCATTTTCACATGGAAGATTTGAAAGGAATACGGTTTGACGTAATTACTATCTCATCATTTCGAACAAAGGTAGGATCCCTACATTAAGAAATCGTTATAAGGATTTAATTGTCATTTATGCATGTTATTCTTTATGTTTGCTTATGAAAGTATGTGAAGTTTCTTTAATGGTTCTTCTTAAATGTAAATGGCAGAATGATTATATGTTAACTGATGGTCGCAGAGGCTCCTCAAAACTTTAAGTAGATCATTTGATTATCGATTTACTTATTTATGAAAACAACATGTAAGAATACATGATTAGATGTATGATTATTATGTTCATATAGCATGTGTAGCCTATTGTGTATTTCTTTGAGATGCTCATTCTTATTTAACATTTTCAGAGTAATCGGAGATCCTGCGGCGGTTCGACATGAATGTCATATCTTATTTTTAGAGAAATTTATTTCTTATGTTTTAGATTGTCACTTTTTTTTATAGTTAATAATCCTTGTGGTGTTCCAAGAAATTGTAGATTAAGTTTATAGTTCGAGACGGATAATTTTAACATTTGTACATGTGTTATCATAAATTTCCAGCATTTGCCACTGTCTTTAAAATTTTATTATGGTATGTATATTTAGAATTTTAGCATATTTTCAATTGGAAAGTGATCATTTAAGAATTATTGTTAGAATTTGGGTGTGACCCAAATTCATTGTTGAAGTAATTGAAGAATTCTAATTAAAGTGAACGTCAAGAGGAATTTAGTTTGAAATGCTATTAGAGTTTTATTCATATTGAAATTCTATTTGGAAGCCCTATCGGGAGTTAGAATTTGTATTGGACTTGAAGAGGTTGAAATTATGGACCGAGAAGAAAAGCCATCTCATTTTCGCTAGCTGGCCGCTCGACCAACACCTGGAGGCTTTCTCCCAGGACTTGGTCACTCGCCAGTCGCCCGCCTTGCGTTCGAGCGATAGACCTGTCGCTAGCTTATCGCTCGAGCAACAGGGTTATCCGGCCCAGGCCGTTTTCGTGTTTTAACACGTTTTTGGCACTTTACTTCAACTACAACGTATCTATTAGGGTTTACACATCGCCCTACATAGTTGCCTATAAATATTAGATTTTTCTATACAATTTTATAATGTGAGAAAATAGATTACTAGAATTATAGGATCTATTGTAAGTTTCTCTCTTCTCCATTATTCTTAAATCAATAAAATCTCTTAATTCATCTGTCATATTTTTGTTTTTAGGAATATGATGTAATTACACAGAGTAGTACTGGATTCATTGGAAGAGGTGGAGGATTTTGTGTTTGGTTGGAGAAATCAGTTTTGATTATTGTTGAAGAGTCAGTTCATTCCTTGCAGTCGAATTTTCTTCTCTAGGTGGCGAAAATTTTAGAGTTTCGTTCGTTGCAGTGGAATCCGTTTCAAAGTGAAGATTGTTAGAATTTGGGTGTGGCCTGATTTCCTTGTTGAAGTAATTGAAGAATTCTAATTGAAGTGCACGTCAAGAGAAATTCAGTTTGGAATGCTATTGGAGTCTTATTCAAATTGAAATTTTATTTGGAAGCCCTATCGGGAGTTGGAAGAAATTATGGATCGGGAAGAAATGTCGTCTTATTTGCCTAGGAATGTTGGTCATTTGCACAATTGATCACCATCAAGGCATCCCAACACCAAATACTTCACACAAGGGGTGAGCACTCATTCAATCACTGAACCACTCAGTGATCCAATGAGTGTCCTTTTGCAACGTCCCATATGACCCACGTTGGTGTACAATTCATGATTTTCATACCATATGCATATAAATTAATATTGAGGTATATCATGTATATGTCATGCTCATAAATCATTTTGAGTTGCACTGATCATATATGAGATGAATAGTTGCATAGAAATCAACTTATTCACGAGTTGCTTGGCCCGTTTGCCACCCGAAAGTAGCATTAGTTAATGGATTATGCTACTTGTACATAAAAATAGTACACGAGAGATTACATAAAATGATGTAGAGAGAAAAGATTGGATGAAAAACTTTTGTGTTTAAAATTGACAAATGATATAATGACATGTGGCATTATGTAACCCATTATGATAGAGTAACACATGGCATTACGTGTAGCAAGGTCCGTCAATGCTATAAGTTGAGGATCATACCGGAAAAAAAAAGAGATTAGGAATGAGATTGCACTCGCCTCCATAGATTGAGGACGAGTAGCCAGTTTTCTGTTAATTGATTAAGCCCTTGTTTGATCCTCTCTCTTCTCTTTCTTTTTCTATAACATTTATGTAGAGTTATTTACGTGTGTTGCTTATCTAAATGGTTTTCGTTGCATAAATAATGTAGGTATGCAGTTCTTGGTGCTGGCTTCACTGGGTTGTCTGTAGCTTGGCATTTGCTCAATGTACTCTCTCTCAATCTCTGGTTCTTTTTATGGTAGAATATTCTTTGGATTTTTTGAGCTGATTAGACCAACTGATTGAATTGTGATTAAAAAATAAAGTTTTCTAGTACCTGAATATATAAAAAGAAAATGAAGTCTTCAATTTATTTTTAAGGGTTTTTATCGGAAACAAGTCATAGCGAAAGACTCATAATATTTTGTCCAATCTTCTGGAGTATAAGTTTCTAGTAAAAGCTCAAAGTTTATCAATTTTGGTGCCAGTAAACCCACGAGCATGCAAATACCATATATCTGTATACATCATAAAAAATATAGTTTACCCCTTTTTCATAGGTTTAATATAACAATGAACCGGTGGTTAACTAAAAACTTTATTCCACTTTCGTCATCCTCAGTTTTTGGGAATAATGAGCTAGAAAATGATCTATTTTTGAGTGAGGCTTTTTACTTTTGTAGTTAAGCTACTTTGGCAGGGCACAGAGTGCTGGAAAGAGAGTTTAAATCTTCTTAATGTTGCTGAGGGTGCACTATTTAAACTAGTAAACAGGGCAAAACAAGACTCTCCCCCGAACAGTGATCCTTCCATAGTCAAGAAGAGGTTGTTCTTTCTTACAACGGTTCCATAACATATCCATATACATATACAGAAGTGTTCATTGGCTTAATAAATAGCCCCCTCCAATGATTTATCAACTTTTTTATTACCATATTGGAAACAATATTGGCTGCATGAAGACTTGAGTAAGAGTAAGTCATTAACATATTTCCAAGCATAGACCATTATCCGTGAATGACTTTTGTATCTAATCTCTAGCATCATGATGGATGTGGGCATTTCTATCATTATATTTTTGTAGTATAACTGCTATAAAGGGTGACTATGGGATATTATGTTTTTCTTTTTCTTTCCTAAACTTAATTTAGCTCCTATAAGCATTACGTATATGAAGTTCATCTTATGACGCCGATTAAATTTCTCCTCTTTCTTTACAAGTAACACCCTTTGATATCCACTTATTTACTTCAGAGGAATCCTAAGACTAGCTATTAGCTCAAAGAATATGAACCTAATGATTGGTGCAAGTCCTTTTCTACTAGTTAGAAATTTCAATTTGAGTTCATTCTGAGAACTGCCTTGCCCGTTGCAGAATAGAGTTCATCCATGAGGATGCTTGCTGCTCAAAGTCTTGTGCCTGTATTTTTGTACCATTGAACGAGACATTTTATATGCCTGAAGCCCTGAGTATTAATTCTCAATGCTATCTTGAGGTTCATAGAAAAGGCTTAATGATTTTAACGTCTGAAATGATATCTTTTTCGATCATTTCTTTTACAATGTCCCCTCTTGTGATATTCATGTAGGCACTGTACTTAGCATGTGTAAATTTAGCAGAAGGCAAGTCCAAGGTGCGTGTTGCACGGAAAGAACTGTCTTTGCACATGAAATCTGCTGAGAGCAACTTAGAACTAGCATGGTATCCTCCATATGATTTCTTTGTTTGCGTAATCACAAGTATGAAGTTTCCTCATGCAATTGTAAAGTCTGTCTATATAACCACCTAGGTTTTTAAATAAATGCATTGATTGCAATAAGTTCCCCCTTCCTAAGAGAGGAAGGAAACCGAGCTTTTGAAAACTGCAAGGAGATAATTAAATCATCATAGGTGATAGGACTAAAACTACGATTAATGCTCTCGTAAAGCATAAACTAAATTAACTAGAGGGGATAATTATCTCGATCTAGATTAGTGGCCTATTTTGTATTCATAATTTTTTTTTGACAAATCTTTTAAAAAATCAAACTTAGCCCATGTTTGGTTTGAATAAAAGTTAGTTTTTTAGTAGATTTTGATTCAAGTTTGTGAAATGAGTGGTTTAATAATCGATAAAAGTTGTGGATTCTATAAAACGTGAGGTTGAAAATACTTATGAGGAAAAATGAATTTTAAGAAATGGGAGCTAAACAAGGGCTTAATAAAGCACCAATTTGATTTTCTGTTGCTCAAAAAGGTCCACAGTCGCGATGTCAAATTTGCCAGATTTAATTGCTATTTCTTGCGATGTAAAACGACACCATAGTCATTATCTGCAACGTAAAACGAAACTATAGTCGTTATCTGCTGTAGTTTGATTTTTTCAATGAAATGACCTATAATAATGGACTCACTAACATGTATAACACAAAAGATTGGCTAGTCACAAAGAACGATTGAAATGACATAACTTTTATACTATCGATAGAGTGAAAGCACAAGTCGTCTTACTCATATGTGTCGATTAAGTTAATGAACATATATCTCAACATTGTACGTGTCATTTGCATTTTACAATATAAATAAGTTTCACTTATTATTTTCATGGGACGAATGGGCTGTGATTGCTTATATTCGTATTTAGACATGTAACATGACAAGTGTCGTTTTCATGTCCAGTAACGACACTTGTGTCGTTCCTAAATTTTCACCAACATCCGATTTTTTCAAATGGACTCCCTAAAGTATGTAACATAGAAAGTTTGACTATGTCATTCTGTTGTGGTTCCATGATAACGACATGTGACGTAATCAGAATATAAGTTGGGTGGTCCAATACTCGAGGTCGTTGCGGTGAAAAAGAGAAACATTGTTTCCTAGCACAAAAAAAAAAAAAAAAGAGAGAAACCACAATTCTCTCATTCTTGTTTCCTGTGTGGATTCCATTGGAGGCTGGACAGTTGGACGCTGTGGATTGTAGAACGTGGTTGTTCATGTTTCAAGATTAGCAAAAGAGTTTGCAGAATCTACAAAATGTATAATTCTATCACAGTTTTTTTCTAAACACAAAGAAGATCATTGGTGGGATTGAATTATTTTATTTTTCGTTATGGATGGTAAGTAAATTTCCAACAGTGGTATCAGAAACTACTTTTTGTTTGTTAGAAACTGTTTTGCATGTTTGAACAATCAAAAGTTGATTGTCGATTTCTTGTTTCTAACAATTTAATTAAAAAAAGGGTTGAAAAATGGAATAGGTAGAAGTCGGCAACCACTGCCGCCGCCAGCATAGGCGTTAAGCTACCGGACAGCTTCGTAACTGTAGTGTTTCCAACTTAATGATCTGATAGTTGTATGGAGATACAATTGATAATAGTATCTATCAAATGTTTTATTAAAGCTTGTTAAGTACACTCAAGGTTTTAATATAACAAATGGGATCCCAACTCATATGGAGTAAAGCATGGATTCCATAAATTTATGTGAGAGGATCATAAATTTAAGTAAAATAGTAAACTGTTTTGCATGTTTGAACAATTAACTTTTGATTGTTGATTTCTTGTTTCTAGTAATTTAATTAAAAGAAAAAAGGTTGAAAAGGAGATCAGGTCGAAGTCAACGACCACGACCGTCGCAAGCATTGGCAGAGGCAGCGAGCTGCCAGACTACTTCGCGATGGTAGAGTTTCTGCCTTACGCGGAGCTGCACGACGCCGCTGCCAGGTAAGGCAGCGCCCGATACTGCTGCTATTGTAGCAACAGCGTACGAACCTGTTGCAGTAAGTGGCGTGCCTCGATTGTTGCTATTGAGACGCCAACTGTCGATGATAGCCGGCACCGGCGGAGAGAAAAAAAAAAACAGTTAGGGTTCTAGGATGATTGGAGGCGAGGCGGGGCCTCTATTGCAAGTGGGTGGGCGTTTCATACGTGGGGTGGGGGTGGAGTGATATTTTGAATTTTTTGGTACAATTTTTTCAACATGTCAAGTCAAAATTTATTTTCAGAAGAGTATAAAAGTTCAAAAATGACAAATGTGATAAAATTAGTGAAGTGAGATTTTCGTACATTATCTAATTTAATCAAGTAAAAATCAAATTATATCCTATTTAGTAAATTTTTATAAAAATTTATAAAATATGTGGTTGAGAAGTTAATAAAAGTTATAAGTTTAATAAAATATATGATTAAAATTAATTTTTAATTTTGACTTAGATTTTTATCAATTTTTTTATCAAAACAAATATGGGCTTAATATATTATTCAGACCACAATGAAAGTTCAACTGAAATAGCAACAAAGGTTCCCAATCTGTAAGTTTTAGAGTATCTTAAAAAATATATATATTTATTTTAGCTCCTCATTTTGCTTTTTCGAAAGACATTTATTGATTTTTTTTTCATCTTTTATTTGAAATAGTTTTTTATACATTAATGATTAATCGATTTAAATTTGATTTGAATAATTTAAAATTAAAATTTATAACTTATTAAATACAATCATTATAAAGTAATAATATATAGTGAATTTAAATAGTATATTCGCTTCCTAATTTTTAAAAATAAAAATAGAAAGACTTGTCGGACCTATCATGTTCTTGGGCTTTATTCTTTGTGGAAATCATACAAAACACTACATTTCAAAATCCATCTTAAAAAATCAGATCACAAGTTTAACTTTACAAAAATCAGATATTTCATATTTAATTAAATATTAATTATAAAATTTTCATCCCAAACCAAACCCTAGAATTCATTCCATCTCTCCATCCGTCTTCTCTCTATCTTCCTCTTTATCATCGATCTCTCTACCTTACCATCGGCGCCGCACCCCCTCAACCGGCGTTGGAACCCCCACTGGCGCCTCACTCGCAGCTCTACTGGCACACTGAAAATAGCAACGTCGCCGGAGACTATCTCTCTCTACCCTTTTCCCCGTGAGCGCCACAATGGAAGAGTCCCGTTTGGTGGACGGGGTTGTCGGTGGCGTATGGACGGAGTGATTGGTGATAACAGGGGCTGTTATAGACGCTGAATGTGGTGGCGGAGCTTGGAAGTGGAGGCCGGCAAAGACGGCGGCAGGAGTGAAGATGGAGACTTTGATTAGCAACGACTGGTTAATGTTAGGTCTCGGTTTTGGGAAATAAGGGTCGATTGTTGGTGTGATATTCTTCCCTTTGAAGTTGATGGTGGGTGGTTGCTAAGATGGTGGTGGCTCGAAAAGGCAGATGTGTGGTGAGGTTTGGAGTTCTCGTCGAAGTGGGTTGAATTTTGTGGTTGGCCGGTGTGTGGTGGAACGATTTGTGGAATTCGTCAGTGGATGTAGTGGTTGAGTAGGATGCCGGCGGTTGGCTAAGCAATCGTAGTTCGTCGGCGGCCAATGGGGCTGTAATGAACTGAGGAAATGTTGCAGGTGGCTGATTGGCCAATGGCGCTTGGATCTGATTTTTGGTATTTGGCTGGTGGCAGTGATGACTCATGAGGTGGTGGTCACGGGGGTGGTCACCGTTGTCGGTGGTGGTCACACGAGTGGTCACAAAATTCGATGGTGGTAACCTTAAAATTGTGACTAAAAATTAATCTGTAATGGGGTGGTTATAGAAATTGGTGGTAATCACGGGGTTGGTCACAAAAAAATCTAACCGTAACCTTAAAATTGTGACTAAAAATTAATATGTGACCAATAAATTTGAAAATATGTGATTGATAGATAACTGTGACATATAATTTTTTGATCTGTGACCAATAAAATAATATGTGATCTGATTTTTGACCTCAAAATAAACCGTAACCTACAAAATTTTTGATCTGTGACCAATAAAAAAATCGTGATCAATAATTTTTTTGACTTGTGATCTCAAAAATAATCTTTGCCCAATTAATTATGTATATGTGATCATTAATTGTATAATTGTNATTTTGAAAATTTCAAACTTATTTTCTTATTTTTGAAATATACTAAATTTATTCTCTTGAATATGTAATCTTCGCTTATTCTTTTTACCATTTACAAACACCAACCCTTTTAAGCTCTTAACGGGCCTACAATTATATTGGGCTTGAGGGACAATGGACGTTGATACTTATAACGGGCCTATTTTAGGGTTTGATAGAGAGTGTACTATAAAATCTATCCGCTGTATATTTGTGTCGAGTTTATGCGTCTCCGTGGAATTTGTGGTGGTCTGGATGATCCTGACTCGTAATTGAATTGCAGACAGAGAAGGCGTTCTTGAAACAGCCCAAGGTTTTCCTTTGGTAAGAGAATGTATACCTTTATCACAATTTGTGGTATGCTTTTACTTTATAGCCTTGTGTTAAGTGTGATTTGAGAGTAAAGCGGAAATTTTGCAGCTCGAAGAAGACAGGAAAGGGAAAGAGGCCAGGAAATGGAGGCAACCGATACTGGAAAAGCGTTGGGCTAGGATTCAAGACTCCTCGCGAGGCTATTGAAGGTTGAAATTTATCCGTTTATTCATACAGATTTATGGTAAAACTGTTATTAAATGAGATGTGTATCATCTATAACCAAAGGTTTCCCTTTTGAATTCTGGATCGTGAAATAATTGTTTCTGGGGCATGTATTTGCCTGCTTATCTGATAAAATTATTGCATCTGATCATTTAATTCATTTACAAATTGGTAAACTTTATGATCATGTAATACAATTTCAAATAAATGTATATATGCGCTAAGAATTGATAAGTTCAATATATACATGTTCTTTAGTTAATCTTTTCATTTAAAGAGCAATCTAGTAAGTTACTATTGTGCTGAAATACAATGTTTAAGTGTTTCACTTCTAAGCTGGTTTAGAAACTATTTTAAGTTAATTCTGTAGTTCCATGAATCCAGCAAAACTTTCTACCTCATCCTGTATATTGTCCTTTTTGCACTGTGTTGGAGTAGGACCTTAATTTATACTTGTTATTAGTTAGTTAATGGACAATGTTTTATGGAAAAAAAATTCTTTCTAGGAGAGAATGACTATCGTTCTAAAATATACTCGACCTTTTCTATTTCCCTACCGAGTCTAAACTTATTTAGGCCGTGGCAGATACTTAATAAATTTGTGCATGGTGCGCACCAAATATGACCTTTTATATTAAGCCCTTGTTTGGTTTAACTAAAAATCAGATTTTTAGCTTTATATTGATAAAAGTTCGTGAAATATGTGGTTGAAAAGTTGATAAAAAATTGTGGGTCCTATGAAATGTGTTGTTAGAATTAATTGTTGACTTTAATATGATTTCTGTTAATTTGATTTAGTTTGATTCATTTAAATTGTTAATGAGTGGGTGCACACGTATTTAAAGTGCAGCCCTTATGCTAGGTTAAGAAATTGAATTCCCTGGAATGTCATGCAATTGAATTGATCAAATAATTATCTTGTTTTTTATAATTGCTGGGTGGTCCTTGACGTTTTTGACTTTTTTTAACGCCTGGCTGCCTGGGAGGTGTTAGTCTGTAATTTCTACATGTTATCCTACTGCACGATTATCTTTGATAGTTTTATCAATATCCGTCTAGCCTAATGAATATCCTAATAGCACTGGTTCTTTTCTGTCCCTTCAGGCACATATATCGACAAGAAATGTCCCTTCACAGGCGATGTGTCCATCAGAGGTCATATTGTTTCTGGGACATGCCACAGTGCCAAGATGATGAGAACAATCATTGTTCGTCGTAACTACTTGCATTGGATTAGGAAGTACCGGAGGTATGATCTGATGCCTTTTTAGTACTGTTTTCTCTCTTTGTTACGTTTGTATTGTTATGGTTAAATATTGATTCATTTCCAAAGGTGGCAATATTATGATTTTTTTATGGTCATCTTTAATGGTATGAAGTTGATCGAAAGAGGCAGAGTGAGACATCCTGAACCTCAGAAATGAGCTCTAGACATCTCACAAATTAAAATTTTCTATTATACAAGTCAGAAATATTGAAAAAATGAAACCTGCCATGTGGCATGTGTTGCTCCTCCGAGAATGCAGGCGCTGTCCAAATTCAGACATGAAAAGTTGCATAACAATTGGAACTTCTATACTGGAATAAGTTCTTTGCGAAATTTTTTTCTTAAAGGTTCATTGATGTCTCCCCACTGAATAGCTAATAATATTCAATAAACAGTTAACATCTAAATCTTTATTCTCTCCAAAAAGAAAAAAATCAGTTAAGAAAGAAGCGATTGGCAGCCTTTTTGTTTTCACCGTGTTTGTGACCTTCTATATCTGTATCTTTTCATGAAGGTCTTTATCTTCTTTTCTGTCATAGCCTTGTTACTGCTTGAAGTCCTTGTACTCAAACTACTTAGAAGTATGCACCATTATTGCTCACCAATGTTATGTAATAAGTATCTGTGGAAGGTCTATACAAAGAAATTGAATTGAATCAAAAAAGAAATTTTGGTATGTTTAGTGATACTTGTATGCATGTTTGCTCTTGTTCCTTCTAAATTGACCTGATGAACTGTCCCCTTTTTTTTCTTCAAAAAATTAAGAGAAACTTGTTATGAATGAAGGGTTGATTATAAGTGGTTAGTGGTTGTGAGTACAATTCCCATGGCCAATATGCCTATGAAATTAGAGTTTGTTATGACACAGAAACTGCCTTGAAAGTTAGTTGGAGTATGCTTCTTTCTTCTCGCATCCAACTTATTACCCTTATTGCAATGTTGATTAGCATTTTGAATTCAGATAGGGATTTTCACATAATGTACCTCACATGCAGGCTGCATTAGTGGGTCTAGCTCAATGGCGGAGGCAGCACCGGACGAGGTGACATGGTAGCCCGTGCTGGCTCCGTCGAAATTTACAGGTGCGGCTGTCGATGCTCAATCACAGTCAGACAAAATAAAGTTACACGGGAAGCAAACGGGGAAGGTGTATTCTTGGGCCATATTTATTAGGCTTTTTTTTTAAAAAGAACAATAACTTATTAATAATTGCAAAGGAAACAAGCCCATAGACCTTTACATTTCATACGTCATTTCATCTTACACCAAACTCTATCCTTAAGTTCTACCTCTCGATTGCTGGCTCCTATTCTCCGACTTACGTCGTCACGCAGCATGTCGGCACCGCCCAACTTCACGGTTGCTCTTCTATAGACAATAACTATGAGTATTCCTTTACTTAAAGATTAACAATTCATTTTATTGACACTGTCATCAAAATTGTGATAACACCTATTTCCTTTTGAATTCAACCCCGAACCCTCAACCTCAAAGCCGACCATGTATACATCTCGGGGGACACGTGATATATAAGGCAGTTCTTAAGAGTATGAAGACAATTTTAAACAGAAATTCTTTAACCATAGAATCTTTACCTGACCTATAAGATTCATACAACGCAAACAAACTCTAATTATTGAGTACAACAATAATCTTGTGGAGACCAATTCCTAGCTCAAATTGGGAAAGCGAGTAACCAAAGTTTGAATCTCCTTCGAGGGATTGGGGTGAATTCAAAAGAAAAACAGTAATTTTGTCACATTTTATTTAAATGTACAACGATAAAAAGATTCAACAACTCATCAACTTAATGCTATATCTATTGCCATGGAAATCCTGGAGTTAGTAATGAAAATAAATAATCAAAAGGAAAAATATATTATTGGTGTTGCATGAATGCGAATTTCCAGCACAGTATATTTTGATAGAGCTACAGGAGTATCGGAACAACTTGTAGCCTACTAATACAGAGTTTCACTATTTCATTTCAAACAGAGTTACACACAACTCTTGGGCATAATAAAATGCATGTTATGCTCTTTATAAGTTTGTTCTAATTTCTCTAGTTATGGAGTTCTCACAAAATATGAAAACAAAATATATGAGGTAGAGAACACGCTTAAAAAAATAAGTTATGGAGATATCAAAAGAAATATGGACAAGTAATTCCATTATGATCGGGAGTTTTGAATAAATTGATTATAGATTTGAAATTGGAGGCCAAAAGAAGAATGTCAATTCTTGTATCCTGAAGAGACGGTAGAATCTTGCCCTTGTTTCATTTTCTTTTTCCCCACCTAGAATTTACAATCTATGTTTTTAGGATTGCACAATGCATTATATACATATAATCAATGTGATGATTAATCAAACAGGTATTTGAATCAACTAACCATGTTTTTAACTCCAAAAAGTAATCATATCTTAAAAAGGTTAATCAAATATGTTTTTAACTACACAATTTTCATAGAATCGTGTTTTTAACCCAAAACAGTAATGGTATCTTAGAAATTGCTATCTGTTTAGAACTAAACAATTTTCATAGAACAGAATTCACAATCTAAGTTTTTAGAATTGCACAATACATTATATCCACGGAATCAATAAGAATAATATATCAAACAAGGATTTGAGTCAATTAACCATATTTTTAACCCAAAAAAGTAGTTGTATTTTAGACATTCATATTTTAGGAACACAAAACAGGGTGGGTGTTAAGCATAATTGTCTAGATCACATTCATTTTGAAATAAAAAAATTGCTCATTGTCCAAAATTTAATATGTGAATTAAAAAAAAAAAACTAAAATAATGAGAAATAATATATTTGGAAAAGAAAATAAAACAGGGGTATGATTATACCGTTTCGTTGGGATGTAAGAATTGAAATTTTCTTCCTGGTCTCTAATTTCAAATCTCGTCAATTTATCTGAATTCTCGACCATAATGGATTGACTTGTCCATATTTCTCCACCACATCGACCTAAGGCAATTTAGAAAAAAATTGATGGAGCAAATACCCATAATTCAATATTCGTTCCATAGATGATTGATTTTGAGTCAAAGAAGCTTCTGCATTTCGAAATTTTATTTCAGTTGCTGTGTATTTTTCGAAGTAAATTGGTCAAGTGTCTCTGCATCTACATTTTGACTCTTGAAAAAAGGGAAGTTCCGACTTTTGGAATTAGTTTCTTGGTTCTTGGAATTCAGATGGCTTTCGGCTTTTGGAAACAACTAGAAGAGGGGATTAGGTTTTCAAGATTTTGATTTGTTGGAAATGGCTGGTATAAATTCTGACTAAAAAGCCATTGGTCCGAAAACAATCGAACTGGACTCAAATTCGGTTTGGATCATTCATTTTTTTGGTTGTCAAATATATTTGGTACGTAAAATTGAATATGAAGAAATTATAAAATTTATTACTTGTCTAAATAAAATAAATTGGTTATTTTACTTAGACAAATAATAAATTTTATCATTTCTTCATAACTTGGAAAGTCGATTTTTTTTTGTCGGTATATTAAGTTTTATGAATATCTTCATAATTTTATTTTTTTGAGGGTGTTCTCTACCTCGTATGTTTTGTGGGAACTCTATAACTAGAGGAATTTGAACAGACTTATAAAGCATAACATGCCTTGTATTGTACTCGAGAGTTGTGTCTTTGTTTGGAACAAAATAGTTGAACTCTGTAATATTAGGCTACAATTTGAACTCGAATTAATTGCTTTTAAAATTTAAAGCTAGAAATTGATTTCGACAAAATTATTGTTGTTCTCAGTAATTGGAGTTTGATTGTGTTGTATGAATATTGTAGGTCAGTTAAAGATACTTGGTTTAGCAGTTGTAGGAATTTCTGTTTAAAATTGTCTTCATACTCGTAAAAACTAACTTATATATCTCATGTCCCGAGAATTATACATGATCAGGGTTGGGGCCAAATTTAGAATAGTGAAACTTGTCATGGTCTACTTTGTCTCTGGTCCAATAACACATTTCGACCAACTTGGGTGAACGATTTTCTAGTAAAGTGTTACAAAATCTTAGAGGTGGGCAAAAGAAGGGATTAAACCGACTCAACCAAATCAAGTCGGGTTGGTTTGAACCAAAAAATCGGTTTGGTTCTGTTAATTTTAACCATTATAAAGTAAGGTTTGGTTGGTTGCTGTTTAAGCAACCATCCTGTCAATTAACCAATCAAACCCGCAAATCCATTTTTTTTTCATTTTAAAATTCATCATCTTAAACTTTAAAAAAACAAAATTACAAATATAATTCTTTCTTAAATAATTTATTTATTTATTTACCGTCTACGTTTTTTCGACCAAAACTCCGAATTTCGAAAGAAAAGAAAGCAAGAAGTGTGTATTATAAATTTCAATATAGATTGTATCATTGCTTTTCATTTTTGGTATAATTGTTTCTTGGTAACTAGGGGTGGGCAAAAAACCGACCGAACCGACGAACCCGATCGAACCGGGTTGGGTCGATTTTTTTTCAATTTTTTCATTCGGTTCGGTTTTTTGCAAGGCTAAGCGGGTCGGGTCGGGTTATGGGTTAACCCACCCAACCCGACAAAAACCTCCCAACCCGACCCGCCAATTTTTTAAAAAAATAGGTTTTTTCTCAAACTAATAAAAACCCTAAACTTCCCCACATTTCATTTTTACAGCCAACTCATCTCTTTCCATAGAATACTGCTTAGTCAGTTTGATAAATCGGTTCGGCAATTGTGATGGCGATGGTTGTCCGCGGTGGAAGAGTTGAATCGGGTTGTGGATCCGGGCTCCGTAACTATTTCAGCTACAAGATCTTCGTTGGCATTCACTCTCCTCTTCCTCGCTACTCTCTCTCTCCCTGACTCTGTAACTCATCAATTTGTAAGCCAACAAATACTGTAAGCTCCTATAGGACCAGTTTTGGAACTTATTGGGCCTTATTCAATCCGGCGTTACCTCCAACAAATATGGCTTCAATTGGTGAGAAATTAATCTTGTCTTACAAGCTCTGTCATTTCCTGTTTAATTACTTTGTGTGTGTTTTTGTATACTTAATTAAATCATGTCTTTATGTGTATATATCTTTATATGATATGGATGCGTTGAATGACATTTCGGTAGGTAATTAGAAGAGAAAGTCATGTTGCAACTTGGAAGGAAAATTGGATCTATTTGTCAAAATTTGGGCTGCTTTTAGATTTTGTGAACTACATGCATTTTTTTTGTCTGTGTGCTTGAGAATCTCAAGTTGAGATGATTTATTTTAACGTAGGAATATTTTTGACTCTATTTTATCGTTTCTGTTCCATTTAATTGTGGAGAATCTGGAGATCATTGAGAAAGTATACATTTTATTGAAAATTTAGATGACGTTCAAATAACAGGTTCAATCGAAACTGGCCATCAAGCGGAACAGAAAAGAACTTTTTCAATGTCAATGAGAGTTATTATTTCATATTATCTATATAAACCGACCAACCCGACCGACACATAATTGGGTTAGGTTGGGTTTCAACATTTACATGGGTTGGGTTGGGATGAATTTCTAGCAAACCGACAATGTTGGGTCGGGTTTGGGTTGGGACAAAAACCGACCCAACCCAACCCAACCCACGTCCACCCCTATTGGTAACTATCGGATTTATACGATAATTTTGGAAACATCAACCCACTACCATTAATATTATATATATTATTGATACGCAAATTTTTTAACTCAAAATAGAATATGTAATCTTTTTTAACTCAAAACAAATGTCCAAATCGATTAACCAAATCAAATCGACCAAAATCGATTTGGTTTGGTTTGCTTCAGTTTCAATGATTGGATTTGGTCGGTTTTGGTTGGAATTTATCCTAATCGACTAAGTCAGTTTTGGTTATGGGTTGGACTCAAAACCAAACCAACTTGAATCATGCTCAGGCCTACAAAATCTCCAGGAAAGGACTAAACAGCAATAGTCTTCTTTTTTTCAACTAAACATAAGACAAATTAGAGAATTCTGAGGAGCGGGAGAGATACGTGTTACTTTGCAACCAGTGGTGAATCCATGATTTGAGGTCAGCTAGGACGTTCATTGATTATTGATCGTTGATATTCAATAATTATAATAGTAATGTAGTTTATTTAACAATTTTTTAATCTATATGTAAATACACTAATTCATAAATTTATCAATTTCACTTATCACAAAATCCCCATTTTTAACATCATAACTCACAGTCAAAACTCAAAAAATTTCATAACTCAAAAAACAATAAATTATCTATGCATCAAGATATTAGTGCATTTCTAGCAATGTGTATTTATGCATCGAGAAATATACAAAATTAGATTGAAACACACTAAATTAACAATTTCCTGTAAAATAATTTCTAGGCAATTATTTTCCCTGAAATTTAATTTCTTTTCACCATTGCAATCAAATGGACCCTAAATGTATGTTTTGTGAACCAATATCAGAACTTCAGAAGTGTTGGGCTTAATCTGTTGAATTCATTTTATTTATAAGTGAGGTGATGGTCAAAGGCAAGAAATTTCTAACCAAAGCATATCATTTTGCAGGCAATAATAACTAATACTGAGACGAGGGAGCCAGATACTGTGTAACCTATAATTTGGACGAGAATGTGCGATCAATATATGGACGCTGGACCACACAAAGCATCTGGTAACATCCCTTTAACTCAGGACACTACCCAATCCGCGCACACACTAACAACACAATACTTGATTAACAATATATCTATATTGTAAATTTATCCAACATTTAGGAAAGCTAATACCTTGAGTAAATTAGAAATCGCGGTCGTGGCCATTGATTTATTCCAATCCCTTCGCTATTAGATCAAATACCCTCCAGACCCAGCACCAAAATCAATCTGATTTCGAGAAGAACGCAAAGGAGATCGATTGGGTTGAAAAGGGAAGAAAAGGGTTTTGGCAAAAAGGAGAAAAGGGTTTGGACTGTAATGAGGGCTGATTGATGATAAGGATCCGTTTGATTGGAAGAGTTGAATTTGGGTGGAAAAAAATGGGTGAAAAAAATGAATTCCTGGGAATTGAATTGTCTAAAATTGTTTTCCTGTGAATTGTCAATTAATTGTGTTTGATTAGTATAATTTTTCACGTGGAAAATATTGAAATTTTGGATCTTTTGGTGTTTGTTTGGCTTTATTTTATATGAAAATTGTATACTAAAATGATATAATTTATTACAATTGGGGATAGANAAAAAAAAGGGGCTGGAAAACCAAAAATCACCAAAACCATGGGAAAGCAGATTCAAGGAAAATGGTGTCACGTGAGGTGAAGTTGGAAAAAAAATTGCCTAAAAATTTTTGGCTATTTCTACACATCAAACTCGGCCTAAGTGAAAAAAAAAAATTGGTATGCGCCTAAAATAAAAGAAAGAAAACTCTCGCCTATTAATCATGAATTTTTTCTGCGGCATTTAAGAATGTATGCATGAAATTGTAACGTGTATAATTATAGGTGTAAGATGGTTTATAGAGAAATTTTGATATAGGTGTATGTATATGATGTGTGTATATATATTATAAAATGGTATATCTGAAGGGTCTTGCTTGCTCCCACTTCAGTAGGAAATTTTCAATGTGTGGATAAATGTTCATTCCCATCTCACTTCATAATTTATGTAGTTCTCGATATCAATTTAGACAAGGCCTAGGTATGTTTGGCTATTCATAGTTATCCTAATTGTTTATCAAGTCCTAACCACGTCTGAAAAACATAACTTCAATTGTGCTTAATCTTTTGGTGACAGTTTATTTCATTCTATGCTTGCATTAAAATTATTCACATAAAATGTGAAAATGCTCAGCTAATAAGTTATACGAGTTAAACGTTCTTGTACATTTCATAATATGAAGCAAGGTGACTAATAATCATGCTCAAAGAATAATTTTTCTTTTCATTTCATACCTTAGATCAAGACTAATCTCTGATTGACTATGCCACTGTAAAGATGGAATGGATTAATCATGTTATCCATTGAAAAAGAAATGGTTGAACAACTCGATTATCCAAAATTGATTGATATTATTAAGTCTAAAATCACAAGACGAGTTGTATTTAAGTTATCGTTTAGAATATTTTCACATTGTTATTTGATTGTAATATAAATATTTTGAATATTTTCACAGAGTCACATGGTTTGACTAGGCTTTTTAACAAAGAGTCCCATTCTATAATGGGTCTGGTTTAATTGTTTGTGGGATTGTAGGGAAAAAAGATTTTTTTCCCCCCTTGATTTGTTGTAGTTTGGTGAATTTAGAGGAGTTGGAGTTGGTTTAATTATTTCTTGGATTGTAGTAAAAACCACGGTTCATCTTCACTGATTTATTGTAGTTGGATTAATTTGGAGTAATGGATTTGGTTTAATTGTTCGTGGGATTGTAGGGAAAAAACTTTTTTTCTCCTTGATTTCTTGTAGTTTGGTGAATTTAGAGGAGATGTGGTTGGTTTAATTAGTTCTTGGATTGTAGTGAAAACCATGATTTATCTTTGCTGATTTATTGTAGGCTCATAAATTTGGAGTAATGGATTTGGTTTAATTGTTTGTGGGCTTGTAGGGGAAGTGGGGTTTTCTTTTTCTAATTTGTTATAGCTTGACGAATTTAGAGTAATGGATTTGGTTTAATTATTTCTGGGATTGTAGGCAAAAATACGTTTATTTTTCCCTTGAAGCTAATTTGCCCAAAACTAAGGGTGAGGAACAGGCTCAAATGCCAGCAGACCAACCACAACCTATTCAGTAAGAATGCATATATATCAAAGTGAGAAAGAAAAAAATAAATAATTCCCATTAAATTTCATTAACAAATATGCTATGCATATGGACTGATCATTCATCTAAGTTAAGCTATCAGAGATGATAAACGCTTATTTGTATTTGGGTTATTAGCACTCCCCTCACGAACAGGATGATGGACTAACACGTATAATTTTCATATAATGGTGGCGAGACAAAAATTTAAAATTAGTATTTGAGAGAATGGTTCATCTTTTTATTTTTATTAGGGGTTACAGCATCTATTACTCACCAGAATTGTGAAGTGAGGGCAGGAGGAGTGGGGAAGTGAGCGAGTTCAGTTCCAATGCTCTCAAAGAAAAGCCATGTCAAACTGTTGCCACCGATAACCGGAATGCTGGATGGAGCAAGCCATCCAATCATTCCAAATCCGATCACATTCAGGTCTGTTCGCAGTCAGTCTCTTTCAAAGCTTTACAATCAAACAATAATACGTGTTTATTAGCCCAATTCTCGAGTTATATGTATCACGAGTTAGTCTTAGTTCTTGGTGATCAGTCATTTACCATGTGAACTTTCCTCCTGAAGCTTGTGCTAGCCTTGGAAGATTCTGGGCAGTTATTGGAGATTTTAGAAATCCTGAAAAATAACATACAAGATTATTAAAGAAAAAATGATGATTCTACAAGAAATGTTCCTACAGAAAAGGGCATATTGTGAGAATATTTATAAGGTCAGTTATCGAGTAAGGGAAAAGGATTATGAAAGTCAGTTATTCTAGTTGGATTATTTCAACTTATAATCTTTTGCTTTTGATTTGGTTATGCAGATTTTATGCATACTTGTTGTAGCGACCCAAATTTTAAAATGCAAATTTTATAACTTAAGTTGTGTCGCTACGACATTTCTATCAAATTTTAGAATTTATTTTATGTCCGTCGAGTTGTCTAGCAAAACATTTAATATAAGAATTTAAAACGATTTTTAATCTTAAAAATTCTATATTTCTTTATCGGGTTGAATTTTACAGCCAATATCTATTTTATATTACTCTTGGTCTAATATCCCTCTTTGGCTTTAAGTCCATTATCAGCCCAAATCAATTGTCCAAATTCTGGAGCATTGGGTTGTAGGGCTTAACAGTGTTAAAACCTAAAACCAGCCATCTCCAAAAATTTCACTCTCACGGCTGAAACTTCACAAGGAATCTGGGCATTTCAACTAGGTAAATCTCTCAACGTTGGAACAATTATTTTTCTTTGATTTCATCATCGTCGTCTAACCCATTGACACACTGCACCAGTTTTTCCACTTTCTAGCTGAACTCTCGAACCAAAAAATCATTCTCAGCATATCCGTGCAGGTAACTCCTTCGAAATCAATCTTCAGTTTTCGTTGGAATTACATAATCTCTTTTCCTTCTCAGTATAATAATAAATGGGAAAAAAATGAAATGAAGGAAAACGAAATTTCTAAGTTTAATGCCGTGAGTCGAGTGTTGAAGTGACCTGCAACTCCAATCCTTGCTCTCCACATCTTGCTCTCCTTGTGACTGAAATTCTGAGTGCAAAGAAGAACACTCGAAATCCGGAAGTTACTCGCAACTTTTCTTGCCAAACAAATCCCAGCCCTGCCTCTATTTCTCCATTTCTCGCCTGGAACACTATCTCACAAGCCACCATTGACCTTGGACCTCCTCCTCCGGCCTCAATTTTTGTTAGAAGTCTTCAAAATGTAAAACCAAATTTGAAAATTCTCTTGAATTCGAAACCAGCCTCTCTCTGCGTGAAAATGGGTTTGGGGATGGGGGTTGGTATTAAATATTGAAAATTCATTTTTTAAATCCTCAAGTTTAGTAAAAAATGTAAGTTAGTCCCCTATTTAATTTTAACTCCTTCACCATCCATAAAGTTAAAGTATTCTTCAAATTAAATATAAAATACTTTCTAATTTTATCATATTTGCCCTAAATATTCTGATTTTGATAACTAGATGGTAAAGATTTAACGAATTATCAAATTAATCATTTCTTTACTTTCAAAAGTTCAAACAAGTCTCTAAATTATATTAATTTTGTTCTTGCTAGACGAGCTCACGGGAAAAGTTTAAAGCACGGTAACATCACATCCATTCAATTTCAAGAAAATTTTCAAGACTTTGAGGTGGAGTTTACATTAAAGCAATTGTGGTTATTTTGTCCATGATAATTCTTGATGTGTAATTTTGATTGTGATGTGATGTTTATACATATGAAAAGGTTGCTAGGGACCTAAATAGGTCCGACATCGAAAGTGGGTCTTTGGGGTTGTCCCACGGTGCAAATAAATTTGTTGAGTGCTAATAATATGTTGTCAGGGATCGTAAATAGGTCCGAGATCGTAATTGGGTCCTTGGAGATGTCCCACAGTACACATTTCTACAGTATGTTGTATTGGTATTATATTCAAAATTTGATTTCATGTTTAGATTTAACTTGGACTAATTGTTGTTTTTCCACTAAGTATAATTCGTTATGCTCGCCCCAATGTTTTTCCACCATTTCAGGTTAAGGAGCTTGGCAAGACAAGGCAATGAGCAGGTTAATCTTGATTAAATAATAGACAATTTAATTTATAAATTTTGAAACAAGTATTTTAATAGCTGTATTCCATTTTGTCAATTTAATCTCAAGTTTTAGTATTTTTGCGAATTTTGGCACTTTGCTTATTATATTTGATATTGACATTTGGATGTGAGCAAATTATTCAAAGGATGTTTCCGTATTTAGTTCTAATTTGCTATAGTTTAAAAATATATATATTTACGCATTTTGGCATTTATTGAGAATACTTATGTACATGATATTTTCGACTTTAGTAGTACCTTGAGTTAATAGAATTTGGGGCGTTAACACTTGTTGAGTAATCTTAATATGATTGCTAATTCTGAATTCTATTGTAAATTTGTTGCGTAGATCTATGTCAAGAATAAATAGGAGCTACTCTCCGAAAAGAGGCAGATTCTTCCTGTCTAGTCTGTTGTCGAGTTGCTACGTGGAATTTTTATAATTTTTAGTCGCCTTGTTCATAATGAAGGGAAGTACTATCATTGTTTTCAGGAGATTTGAAAGCATATTATGGTTTCATATTATGTTGTCATTGTTTAGAGCTAGAGGTTGTGTTGCAATTGATGCTGGTGTTAATTTAAAAAGTACTCTTTCCTTTGTATTTCTCTTTTGATCAAATTGTTTAAATATTGCTTTGGATTTGTTCAAATCCATTTTTATTATTGTGAGGTTTATCCTTTTGAGCTCAAATTTAATGGTTATTTCAATATATAGATTTGTTTATCTCACAAGATCCAGGATGATAGTTTGGCATCATTTTTTTTTTTAAGTAGTTTACTCGTGAATTGAAAAGCTTAATGACGATGGTAAATAGTCATTTTTAGACCAATACATGCAATCGTCATTTTTAGACCAATATTATGTATGGGTGCTTTGTTTTTTTTTTTTTTTTGGGCTTTTCTTGCTGTATGGGGGTCTCTGTTTGGTGGTGGATGGAGAATTGCAGGTTGTGTTCTTGATGCTGTTTTGTCAAATGTAATATAGGTTATTTTTTTAATATCTGGAAAAAAACATTTGAAGCTTCACCAACTACAAAATTTATATGTTATTTAATATTATATTAACATTAAACCATTAAAATTTATTGAATAATCAGATTTTTTGAATAAAATATTATTAAAAAAAATTCTCAAAATTTCGAGGTAAACGCATTTTTCATTTTTATGTTTCTAGAAACAGTTTTTCAGAACGGTAAAAAGAACGGATTTTCAGAAATTTCAAAACAGACGTTTAAAACTCGAAAATACAAGATGAATTCAAAACTCAAAACTTAAAACTGAAATACAAAGATAGTTGCCCCTAAATGCCCGGTTTTCCCCCTCTTTCCCAACCGAAATTTTCAGCAGGGGCAAGTATCTTAAATTTTAAGTTTACTGCCTTTCACTATAGAACACACCCGAGTTCTGTCTGGAAGTTTATTGCAACTATGTAAAAGGTGTTAAATAGTGTGGAGCCTAATTATACTACACACTTATCCATGACTAGCAGAAGGTCGACCTTCGCGGTAAGTTCAACGTTGGGCCGTAGGTCCCTACTATGATAGAGGTTTAAACTACTACTCCTCCATTAGAGTGAGAACCTACAGCAATGAGTGAAAGTAGCTCTCACTTTAAGGTGAACCACTACAAGTCAGTCAGTGTGTGCTTTATTTGTTAATGATCATTATTGCTCTCGAAAGTAGGGATTTAATCCATAATAATAAGGCTATTTTCAGGGGTAAGGAGTTTGGTTCATCAGGCTCAATATCGGGAATCTAGGTTCCATTTTCTGGTAATTTATTAGGGATATATTATCCCCTTCTAGAGCCTAAACTTTTATGTTTTAGCAAAAAGCATGCAATACAAAAAGAGACCAGGAAGAAAATGATTTCTAGTTAGACACTATAAAGGTTTAACTAAATAACTTTTTTTTTTTTTTGAAAACAGGACAGGCTAGTTCGAGCAGAAAGACCAGGAACGAGTCTGGTAAAATGGAAAAAACTGAAAAAATGAAAACCGTTTAAAATAAGTCAAGAGGTGGACGGTGCACCTCAAAATATTGTTTTATTTTTTATCACCAGTATGAACATTTGACCTTTACCCGTTATCTTTTCCACAGTTCATGCCAAGTCGACTTTCAAAATATTGTTAAATACCATTATTTTCCATGCCAGTATTGTCTGACTACAGAAAACATTACTCGCCACTTTAATGGGAAAATGAATAGTTTAAGCAATCGTATGAGTAAACTAGCTAGCAAGAGGACGTAGAGGTGAAAAGATAGATAAGGAATCTAAAATTGAACATACTTGTGGAGAAGAAGGAAAATGCCACATAATATAAAAGTTCCCGCCACAAGAATCCATCCAACAATCACCAAGCTGCAACAACAAATTGAAGCACTCTTTTAGAAAGATAGTAGACATATAAGTACAAAAACACTGCAGAAAGCACAGAAATCCAGTGTAAATAGATGAGCCACTCACATGTACACAAGAAACTGCAAGCCGAAAATTGAAAACACTGAAGAGAAAGTTCAAAGTAAGTATATTGACAGACAAAATGTGATCAAAACAAGCTCCAGTATTATATTTTTTCGCAGTAAACATGAGAAGGCAGAATAGACCTACCAAATCCAAGAACTGTTAAGAGAAGCATAACAGCAGAGACCACCATAAGAGCCACTCTCCTGCATTTAACATATAATATACAAACTCAAAATCAGTTCGAAAGCCATTAAGCTGAAACAAACATTCTGAATGGCATCACTTACACAGATTCAATTACACTCTTGACATCCTCTGAGTTGTCTTGTGTTTTATTAGCAAGTGTACTGGCAGAAGAGTTGATCTTGGTTTGAATCTGATCAATATCGGATTGCACATTAGATGGCAGAAGAACTTGATCCACTGCAATCTGCTTGGCAGCAGAAAGATAATCTGAAACATTTTGAAGATTCTCAGGTGTTGTATTTGCTGTTGGAAATTCGATATTGGTTGTGGCCAATTTCAGTGATTATTTAAGTGGAATTTGTTTATTGGTGAATGAGAAATTAAGCCTAATAAACACGAGAAATTGTTGGAAAATCGTGTAGAATATTGTGGAATATTTTAGAAAAATGTGTAGATGAAAAGATGTGTCTTTTCACGTGAAAGATCATAACCTTTGGAAATCATGACTCTTGATATGATTACTTTCCAATAATTATGAATTTTAACTTCAAGAGATGTGTCTCTTGGATGATTGTATCTTTTGACAAACATTTCCAACTATACTATATATAGATCCCCATGTGTTTGGATTCATATAGTTCAAAACGATAGTTTCCATATCATTCCATTCCATGTTTACAATTTAGGTTGCATAAAATACTTGCATCAAAATCATGGTTATGGTAGAGAGAGAATTTCTTTCGAGTTCGTTGGTCGAAGCCATTTAGAGTGCTCCTATGGCTTGACGTGGTCGTTGCATCTTGGGAGATGATTGCTAGAAACCGTTAGCACCGATGTGGGACAAATTTATTTTAAGGACAAAGTGTCAAACACTTGCCTCGACCGATCGCATCACTTGCATTTCCTCTTTCTTTGTTCTGATTTCATTCTAATTTAGAATTCTGATTTCAGAAAGTAATCAATATTCTTTTGATTTCATGCAAGTTTAAATTGAAGAACAACATGCGTTCACTCATATTGGGAAGTGACAAATCCATACTATTATATTCGAAGTATCCACTTATGGCAGAATTTCAATTCAGTAAAGCATGTCCACGCCTTAAGTAAAATTCACTAATACGGTACCTATTCTATATATCCAGTACACAATTAGTGAAGTTTGTCCAACAACATCCATCGACACGTGTTCGACTTCAATAATTATTACTTGTCTTCTCAAATCCCATTTTGGTAAGTCAAATTCTATTTCAATTTCATGAGCATAAAAAGGTACGTGTTGATTTGAATATAATATGTACATTATCGGTGTAATATCTCCAACAATTTTAAGATGAATTTTGTTTTTAATGTGTGCATTTATTTCTAATTTGTTTAGAATCTGGAAATCTCTATCACGTGTATTCTTGGCACTTTATATGCAGTCTGTTATAAGCAATCACAACATGAGATTGCATGCTTATATGTATATTTTATATGTATAATTGATATACCAGATTTATTTAAGAATTCCTTCTCATGGACGACAGGAACATCAATTATTCATAACTGTTTAGTACTCTCGTCTCTGCAGGACCATATATATGTTCTTTCCTTATACATGTTCTGGTTATTTAAATGGTGATTAAGTTAAATGAATTTTCATTAATCTGAAAGTGGACATGAAAATTGCTAAGAAAGTAAAACTAAATGTGTCAATTTTACATGATGAACCCAGAAATCGATTAATGGTTTAAATGGATCGATCTCTTCTTGTGCATATGGTGGCTGTTCGGTTTATGTATTTGCTGTTCAAATTTATGTATTTCCTTTGTCTTATGTCAGTAAGGCTACCCATGTCCACCCGCTAATTTTGATTTGTTTAAATAAATCAGTGGCACAAGGAAATAATTCAATTACATGAATTACATGTCTATGCTTCTATGTGCATGGTAAAAGTTTCAAATGAAATATAATATATTCTTTGGTGAAAGTTTCAAAATCTGAAAAGAATTGGGTACGTTTATTCAGAAGTATGCATGTTATAAGAATCATGTCTTGTTATTTAAAAGGGATTGCCTTATAATTGTAAAAGAAGTTAAAAGACTTCTTCTCAAACAGATTAGTTTTGCTTCCATATTTCATAACATGATTTGTCTTTAATATTTTATTAAAAATCTGATTTCGTAAGTGGTCGTGGTTTTAACGACATTTTGTGATGCATATATAATATACATGAGTAAATTGATGGTAACAGTCCCTTGGTGTTCGGTGAGTATGAAAAATTGTGTTACTCTCTATAATATGAAAGGCATGAATCTCCGAAGAGATTAAATCTGAAACACAATTTATGGAAAATTGGTTTAGAAATCGAGAAAATTGGTTAAATGTCGAAAACCAAACTTTAGAAAATGTGATTTCTTGTCAACTTTAGCCAAATATTCGGACTTGATCCAAAAGTCGTCAAATACGGTATTCCTCCATCCGGCATTCATGGATAATGAATTTGTGTATTATTTGGATGATTAAATGCACAGAATCAATAGTGATTATATAACGTAGAATCATTCATATTTGTTTTGAAGTTTCGTGCACAATTGATCTATGTAAATGCATATTACATTGTGCATTAATGATGTATAAATAACATATAAAATGATTTAATGATACATGACTTTTCGAAGTATATCTGTTCATTTCATAAAACAGTCATGCAAACCATTGTGCATGCATATTAAAGTAAAGTGAAAGATTGTCTTTCCACCTTAATTTAAAAGGTAGTTATCCTTATTTGTATACCCTGATAGTCTCAAAAATGAAACTACTGATTTATTAATATGAATGTGTCTATTGAATTCTGAAAGAAATCAATTTATCTGCATTCCAATTAGTTAAGTTAATTGGTGATAATCACTCGATGCGATATTCTTGTCATCTTATAGTATGATGACTTCGACCAACATTTTTGCTACATGAACATGCTCTAATACATGAATCTCTTTAGATGTGATAATCTATCATGAATTTATTTGATAAATTCATGAAGGGAAATTTATTTGAATTAGTCAAGTGTGTACTTTATTTTGACAAATGTACGTGCATGAAGGGAAATTTGTGTTCCTTCCTTTGTGGAATTTTTATTATATTATTCTCACTTGCTCAAACAAGGGGGCATGTTTTGGCATCCACCCATATGGTTAGATGGGGTTTAGTTCCACACAATGGTTTGGATTTCAAACAAATGTTTTCGTCAAATAGCCTAGTTTGGCGGACCAAGTTTGTAAATAAATTTGGTGGCTTTTGAAGCCTAAATCAAGTGGAAATCACTTGCCCAATTATTAGGATATGAAAATATCTTATAAAGTACAGATAGTTGGTGATATTGCCAGATATCCTTGATATGATGATTGTAAATCACATTCATTTGTAAAGAATAAGAACTATGTTATGCAAAGGTTGTGTATTCCTTTTAGAATGGAAAATAGTCTTATAAGAGACTGCAAATTGAGACATAGTTAAATGTGGATTGCCGAAGGGGGCTAAGTGCTTTTAAAGGTAGTTAGAAATAATATTGAATTATCATTGCGCACATATGCGAATTGGTATGATTAAATTCAATTGAACATTATTCAAATACTAATATGATAAGTTCGAGGCTTGTACCAATTCAATGGTTGACCATTTGGTCTTGGTAAATTTAATTGATAGAGATTGAGATCAATGATGATATCTCTAAATATGGAAGTGTATGGATTTCCTCAAGATATTAATATTCCCAGTCATGACATGTGTTGACTAAAATAGAATAAACTTATACAATGAATGTATAAATGTTTGGAACATAAGTTGCTATTTTGTCATCTTGATCGTGATGAATTAGATATTGTTGAGACTATTACAATTCAGGCAACGAATTGATAGAAATGAAAATTTACCCCTAACCATTGGAAATGTATAAATGTTGGAAGAATGCCAACTAGTTATTGAAAGTATATGAACTTTCATGATTATTCCTTTTATTGGAATATGGAAAATTACATAAATGATGATAACCTCAATTAATTTGATGAAATTAAGTGAGATGATTTATGCAAAATTTTAATTGCATAAAATATGACAAAATTTGGAATTGGTGAAATTGTG